CTTCTTCTTCTTCTTCTTCTTCTCAACTGTCACGGATCAGATTTGTGGGCTCGCTCAGAACATATTTCGGCAACTCATACTTGGCCCCTGTGAAAAAGATATCGAAATTGAAAAATAATTCTGCAAACAAATTTATTACAGAGAAAAAACATAATTGGTCACAAACCTCTCTCATCATAACAGATGGTCAAATCGGGATTTTGAACGATAACACCAGCACTGTCCACGATTGCCTGCGCAAGGCTCAAATCTGCCTCCACTGCTGCCTGGAGAGCATCCCAGATTTCTGATGACAAACAAAAAGAAAGAGAAAAATATTATAAATTCAGAAAATTTAATTTCATTTTTCTAAAGTTTGTCGATTATGAATAATCAAATAGATATTAAAAAATTATGCTACTCAATTCCACATATTCAACTTGATTTCAAGATCCATAACCGAGCTATAGTTGCAGCATTGTAGAAAATTAAGTAATTATCATGTGCATTATTTACCTTTCCTACCACCATAATGTGGGGCAGTGTCCCAAAACTCCTCACGCATTTGTGTTAGTTGTGCTCTAGTTATTGCTTCTGTATGCTTCCATGGCTTGGGTTTTCTTATCTTCTTCGGAGTTTCTGGTTCAGATAAAAAAAAAAAGTATAAGATCTTCAAGGGCCAAACTATCGAGCAAGCATCACCAAACATTTCCCTTTGAAGAAGTTCAAACACATGTCTCGATATCAACTTAATAACCCCAAACAAAGCCCTCAGAAATATGTTTCGATAGTTCCAGAACGGAAACCTCGGTTTAGAACACAAATAAAGGAAGAGCATCAACTCGAGGATACCAATTGATCTTTACCTACTCACATCAAAACTAATTTTCTTTTTTTCCCTTAAATCATTGATGATAAAAACTTCTACAAACAATGAGAACTAAGAAAAAATAGACTCGACCAATATCACACAAAACTGATTAGCAGAACGGGCTTGTGCAACTAATATCTTCCTTTTCATTCGTTTTCATAAAATTATGTTGCATAAATTCATAGCAACATTAATAGAAATTAACGTAAAATCTCTAATGCAAATGGCAATGTGACAAGAAATGAAAAGGAAATTCAATCCAAATATTGCCTATACAAGTGAGTTTCAGCTACAATTCATATCTCATTTGCCAGCAGCAGCTTAGAGAATAACCAGACACATCCAAATTCTTAACAATCTTGTCTGAGTTCTAATTCAGAAAAGATGAAAGGGAAAAAAAAAAAAAAAACACATTGTTTGCATAGACAAATATCTTACACAGATAAATTCACCGGAACAAGAAAACGGGTTAGATTAAAAACAAGTCTACAGAAATCAAGATTCTTGATTTACATACAATGTCCAAAGCTCGTTCAAAACCACACCACATTCATAACCAAAAAATCATTCGAACAAAGTCAGAGGAAAACACAAGAAATCAAAATTCACAATTCCATATAAAGGGGAAAAAACTAAATTAGCAGTCACAAGAACAATCCAACGAGATAGATTAGAAACAAAACAAGCCTACACACATCAAGATTCTTAAATTATATACAACGTTAGAAGCTCTTTTCAGAAATCACACCACATTCATAACCAAAATCATTCGAACAAAGTCAGAGGAAAACACAAGAAATCAAAATTCACAATTCCATATAAAGGGGAAAAAACTAAATTAGCAGTCACAAGAACAATCAAACGGGATAGATTAGAAACAAAACAAGCCTACACACATCAAGAGTCTTAAATTATATACAACGTTAAAAGCTCTTTTCAGAAATCACACCACATTCATAACCAAAATCATCGGAACAAATTCAGACAATAACATACGAAACTAAAAATCACAGTTCCATATAAAGGGGGACAAAAAAGCCGATCAACCCTAAGATGAAAATGCACGACAACAAAATACATCGACGGATCATTAACCGCAACAAATTCAAGAACAAAAAAAGACGAAAACAAAAGGGGAAATCGATACCATCAGGTTTATCGCGCGATCCAGCGCAACCCATGCCGGGGCGTTTACAGGGTTTCCTCTCCGGTCAGAGATATACAGTGACCAGAGCTCGAAGATTGAAGTGGAAAACTAGAAGCAATAAAACAGATGCTCTACTTTGTTTTTTTTTTTAATAATATAGGCATATAATAAAATAAAAGCATTTATTAATTTAGAGTCCACTGTATTTCAACTATCTGAATAAAATAAATAAATAAATAAAAAGAAATAGATTTATAGAGGTGTACTCATTTCGAATTTCTAGACTTTTTAAAATCGTTGGTCTATTTTAATTTAGACTTTCTTAAATTTTTTAATTTGAAATTTTAAATAGTCTTTCAATATATTTAACATATGTGATATTTTGATTTATTCAGACTTTTTAACATCTATTAATATATAAAGAGGGAATGATATTTATTTGAAAAAATATGAAAAAAATCAGCAAAAAAAAAGAAGTCAATTCCCGCCCAAAGTGAATAAAATGAGAAAGATTTTTGGTTAAAATTTAAAATTCGAGCGCCATCCAACCAATTTTGAAAATTTTGAAAAATAAATAAATTAAAAAATTTAAATAAAAAGATTACATGAATATTTTTTGGAGATTCCATATTATCTAACTTTCATACATTAGGAATGGGACACTTGTTTGTTGGTATCTCAATAATAAATAAATAAATATCAAAATCTCACATAAATCCCACCATTTTACAAATTCCTCTTTAAATGTAAAAATTTTTAATAGTCTCAAATGTAAAAAAGGCTAAAAATATCACTATGAAATCTCAAACGAATACATTCATTAACTAACACTTTACCCGCTTTGTTGTTGATATAGGATATTATCTGTATAAAGACGAGCCGATTTGGTGAGCCGGTCGAGAAGAGCAGACCGGAAGCGAACCAAGAAGCGAACCAAGCCGAAAGGCGGGAATCCAC